GTGCATTAAACTCAAACCAAAATCAGAGGTTTTCTATAATTATAAAATTTTAAATAATATATAGAATCTTTTTTTAGAAAATATATTTCTGTATATTTAAGTAGTTTGACCCACATGTTTTTTTCCTAATTCTGTTTGATGAAGAGCTGCTTCAATTCGTTTTGAATCAAATCCATTACGATGAATATCTTCAAGAACTTGTTTTATTGTTTGTTCAGCCTAATTAAAGTTAGTATAAGTAACAATATATTATAGAAAATAGATATATAGTTAATAGTAACATTATAATAAAATAATATCAATAAATAAAATATTATAAAGTTTACCAAAGGTACATCTTGTGATTTCATTCCTTGTAGTCCAATTGATAAAGAACTTATTCTTAAATTTATTTATAAATATGTATTTTAAAAATTGGTTATTTTAAGTATATTCTAGAATCATGTTAGTAATTCTTTATCTACCTTGTAGATGAATCGTATCCTGTATTTTCTGAAAAATCCGATCCTATGTTTGTGTCAATCAAGGCTTTATACATTGGTGATGCATGACCATCTAAGAGAAGGTATGCAAATAGTCTTAGGGCAAAAGTTTCAACAGCATCCTATTAAAAAGAATTTTAATTAATCTGACCCAATTTTATAATAACCAATTTTATAATTATAAATAAATAAAATTAGAATTTACAGTTATGTCATTTGTGAGAAAGGAAACAGACATTTTTGTCTGTTTTTCAGGATTATTCACTAAATCCAAAATTAAATTATGTTAGAAATTAATTAAAATTATAATAATTATTAAAATAAAATTACTTGGATCAACAGGCCCATGAAAAACCATCCTTTGAGGTTTATCAAATGGTTTAACTATTTTAATTCCTTTATCAGGAATCAATTTTTTAAAATCTTTAATTTTATTGTTAATAGTCATCAAATGATTTTCCAGTGGAAAATTGCCTAAATTAACAGTTAAAAATATTAAAATTAATAATTAATTAATCTTAAATGTGATACACACATACCATATGTATAAAACTTTGCATTGCTTGGATGATAATGAGATTTATGAAAATTTAAGAGTTCTTGGTACGTTAAATCTGTGATATTCTTTGGTTCTCCGCCACTATTATATCCATAAGTTGTTCCTGGATACATATATTGCTGAACTCGGGAATAGTACAAGTATCCTGCGTCTGACTAACATATAAAATTTCTCGATTTGACACAACATTCCACCGAAAATGGTAAAATTATATTAATGTTAAAATATTACCATCTGTCCTTTCATTTCATTATATACAATTCCTTTGAATTGCAAAGGTGTTGTCCTGTCTTTCACCATAAAAGTGAAATAAACGTTATTTTTTTAAATTCCAATTATAAGGGCTATTTTATCTTTATGTCTATTACCATGAGGAATTTGATGCTCAAGTCGCCAGCCTTCTTGCCTAAAATCTAGTTCCCTTAAATATGGATGAAAAGTTGCATCCATGTAAACATCTCTCAAATTTTCATAATCCAATTGATGGGTTGTAGAAAATGGGTATATTGTATAATCATTGGCTGAATTACATATTTTTAAATAAATGAGAAGATTATTATCTAAATTTATCAGTTTTAAGATGATTACTTCAAACCTGTAAAAGCATTCATGAAATTCGCCAAACTACGGTTTAACATTTTGAAAAAAGGATCTCGCACAGGAAATTTCTTACTGCCACATAAGGTGGTATGCTCCTTTTAATATAAAAATTGAATGAAATTTAGTATTATGAAATTAATTATCAAAAAAAAAAAAAGGTTTATATATACCAAAATATGCGGAGTCCCACTACTATTCATAGGCGGTGTCGAAAACCCCACCCCAAAAACATTATTATCATCATCACGAACAATATGTAAATGCTCTGCGCCAGTAGCTTCGTGACGAAGCTGTATCGCTGTAAGTTCAAGTTCTGATATTTGTCTTGTCTACAAGAAAGTCGCGTGAGACATATTTACTATTAATTGATAAAGAATAAAATCTACCTGTTCAATAAGAAATCCATGTATCCGATCTTTCGATTATGGTAAATTTTAATAAAAAAACATTCTCTAATAAGATTAATCAACCTTCTATAAATATAATAAAAATTACCTCCGCTTATAAAAGAATAATTTCTTTGATTAATTATTGGTCGTGGATAATGTCTTGGATTAGTTATCGGACGTACTTTCAATGCACAACGCCTGATAAATAGGAAATTCATTTTTTTCTGAAAAGATTAGAAATCTGTAACAATCTTTGATCCTTTATAACTCGGAACTTCAAAAGAACACCCAAAAAAAATTCTGTGCAACCAATTAAATTACAAGATCTGGTGTAACTAGGGTGGGCACAAGAAATTTTTAGAGATATACCTCTCGAAAGATAAACCTAGATACATTCATGCATCTTGCGCAAGATATCGCACAATTTCGCGCGGATCATGTGAATAAAATTCATTTTAGAATATCTATTAATCGATTCATCTCATGAGAGATATGAAAATCGCAGGCGCGATAGCTTCGTCATCTCGCGCGCTAGGTACATCTATGAGCATGCTTCTATAAATCTACAGCATGTATCAGTATTATCGTTATTTATAGATATTAATTATAAGTTACTGATCGGAATCAATAGGTCATTAACTTCAGCTGAAATTCTCTGTAAGTACATAGGACTATAAGTGCACCTTTCCTAGTTCTCAATTGACTTTTAAATGACCAAATGACGATGACCACTAGTAATAAGACTTATTATAACTATTATAATGAAATTTTCTAAATTAATTATTTTTGATTTGAGCTTTTATGTTCAAATGACTTAAAATGCATATGGATGTTGCCTCCCTTGGCGAGTACACGTATGTTTATTCGGAAAATTATCAGAAAATGTAGTTTATTCTCAAAATTTATTTCACGGTATTCAAAACTGATCAATCAGATTAGTTATAATCAGGCGAACAAATGTATGAAACAATGCTTTTTTTGAGTTGAAAATAATCTTTTCAACGAAGATTATAGTATTTTGATTAGATACGTAATACTTGGAAGGGTTGGACTAAAGCGATGGTAATTTGTTCGAAAATCGCGAGACGACTAATTTCAATAAAGTATTCAGTCAAGTTGAAAAATTCAAGAATTGAAGATAAAAACCTTACTATTTATATCCGATACTATATCGTTTATTTATTAGTTTGCATCACTGTATCTCACGAAAAAAAAGAATAGTGAGTGCCAACATTGTTTTATGTTATCGTGTAAACCCCTTGTAAGTCTTTAAATATTGCTGATCTAGTTTACCGTTTTTTGACTTGAAAAACTTCATAATCGTTAGCAAAGAAATTGGTTACATCCATAATACTATGCTCATACGACATTCTTCTTGATGAACCAAAAGTTCCAGTCATCCAAAGATCACCATCTCCAAAACAAGGACCATTCGAAGTAGAATAGTAAAACGCATTACTAGTCACCACAACCCTACTCAACACGGCATTTTTCAGATCATCATTAACATTAAACGAAAACACAAAACTGTTTACAATGTTTTCATAATCTCTCATTCGAGTGAGTGGTCCCAAGAACGTTCGTTGCCATGTACACGGATTATACCCACCCACCACTTTATTGCTGTCCTTTAATTTTATTATTACCACAGTTCCGACTTTGTCGTCACACAGGCTATGAAATGTCGATGCATCAAAACCATCACGACTTCCACGAACAAGTAAATTAAATTTGTAATTGATTTTACAATTTGAACAATCAATATCATAGACATTTCCATCAATCCAACTACTTATAAGTCCAGCATGTATGGATTTAATGATATGAGAATCTATAATCGTTAAACGAGAAGGTAAAATTCTAGTAGTAAGTTCACAACCAGGTTTCATAAAATATTTAATAATGTCCTCATTCAATTGTTTGGGTAAAATCTTTTTGTAAGGAACTCTAACCTTATCATACAGGTCCGTTGAAGAAATTTGAAAAAATCTAATTAACGGTATGCAATTATGTAAGGTTTCTTCCAGAGCTGCAAAATCGCTTTTAGACCAATTATTTATATCGTGATTATTTTGACTTAAAGAGATTGTATGTTCTATCCCCCATTTTATGAGATATTCCCATATATCAATTTCGCCCATTCCTAGATCGTCACGTTTTAGTAAATGAATCATGATTGATTCAGAGAGTAATAAATAGTCATTATTTACACCAAAAATTAAATGAGGATCCCTACACACTATGCCAAGCACATGTTCACGAAGTATGTCAAAATCTTCATGTTTTGATATTATATCAAGAACAAGTATTAGATTTTTGCTGAGCCAATCGTTTTGTGTATTTGTTATATGAGTTTGCGCATGTATGCATAGTCGTTGGAGTTCTAATTCATCTGAAGCGATTATTAGTGCGATCGAATCTGGACCGTTTAAGTGCTCTAAACTCTCACTTCCGTAATAAATAAACCTAGTTAATACACAATAATATAATAAACTGGATTAATAAAAAAATATGTATCTACGTATATATATAGTATAGTACCGTAAATGGGCGTATACGTAAAAAGATCCTTTTGATATGTAGACCCTATTATTATTAATCAAATGC